CAATTATAAAGCATTATAAGAAATATCAGTTCAGTTATGACTACTTAATTGCAAACTCAATTGCATAGAAGGCAACTATGTCTATAGAATAAAAGTGACACCTTACTCTGATGTCCTGGGAACCCTTAGAAGTAGAGAGCATTGAATTCTGGTTCTTGCTTCCAGGAATGGCTTCATAGAACTATTATGCAAAAATATGCATAAATAGAGATAGTAAAAAGAGCAGAATACAGATATGCTAATACTTTATTTTCCAACATAACACTGATTATTATTAGGTATGCTCTAGCAGTGAATTTTGTTAAGTGGTTTCTTCCTGCAAGTGTGAAACAATTACAGAGAACATGGTAGTTCTATGGTGTAGTTCTAATAGAGGATTTCAGGAACACAAGGAGTAAAAGGACCAGAGAGGTTACCAGAGAGGTAAAAGGTTCATGTGTGATGCTGTATAGGATTGGTCCTGGTAGGACCAGGAGAACAGAGTATCCTTGGAATTATGTGTCCTTCAAAACTCTCTGACAAGCAAATCTTTTGCTCTGTGATCATGAATGTGGATCATGGTTGACCATACATCAACATGGTTCAACCCATGAGTGGTAGCTCACTTAGTGAAACTGCGCAGGTTTACTAAGTACTAACTAATTTCACTTTCAGGTATGGTAATAATTATTTTCCTTTCCTTCCACCGATACCACTTCTCTGATACTTTTTTGTATCTTCTTCATTTAACTGGCATAAATGCCACCAGTTGTTACCATCTGGTCTGCAGTATAAAATCATCTCTGCTACCATTCTGTAATTACTTTTCATGTGTTAAGAACTAATGGAAATGATTTTAGTGTGGATTCAGGCAACAGTTCCAGCTTTACTAGTCCTAAGCTTCAGGTTTTCCCTAATAGTAGAAAAGAGAGTGGGCACTTTTGGGTCTGTCTAGACATGGCTCTCCTAAGTGCATGTCTGGTCAAATGAGTTACTCACTTTAGTAATATTAATAAATGAGACCAAGTCAAATAAAAGACAGTTCCATTAAATTCTGTGAGCTCATAGGGTGGTTATAAAGTCAACACAATGTGCTGTGTTAACATCTGACCAGTGAAATAGTGGTTTCCTGATCCCAGCTTTGGCTTTCAGCCACAAAAAACACCAGACAGATGTTATGCTTTAGTAGGGTCAGGGTTATCAAAGGGATGTGATTAATATAGTTACTTTGCTTTTTGACACTTTTGTTCTGTTGATTGCAAAGAACTCACAGCCATGATTTTTCGTTGATTTGGTGAACTGTAGGAGAGATGAGAAGAACAGAAGAACCACTCTGAATCAGAACTGTTCCTGAAAAAATATAGTCATAGGTGCAGCGTGGAGTGCTAGTTTGCTTAGGGCTTGTTTGATGTGGATGCTACTGATACTGGTATCTCAGAGGGCAAAGGTGCTAATGCCTCCTCCTGGAGGTAACAGCTGTAAATGCAAACAAGGTGTTCTCAGCTATTTAATGATTCCCTATCAGGCAAAAATGTTGGAGAACTGAAAACACTGACTTAAAAATGCATCAAAGTAGTTTGTTGGTCTTTGAAGTAGAAAGTTATTTATAATGCAGAGTGTTCTCTGATAGGATGATAAGCTTGCAGTGTACATGAGTGATCTGAATTTGAAGGAGGTTTATAAAAGGTTATCGGAATGTTGTAACTTGAGGTTGTGACTGGATTATTGCCTCAAATATGGATATGCTCTTGTTACTACTTTGATATATCTTCAGTTTTCCTTCTTATGCACATAGTGTCCCCCCTTAAAGGCAAACTGGGCAACACTGATTTCCCTGAAAATGAGCAACACTGATTTCGCTGATATGAGTGATGTGTGAAAAATAAGACCCTGAAGGGCTACACTCTCAATCCATTATCACTGTTGAATAGAAAAGATAACTCACCAGGCAGAACACTAGTGAATGAATTGAAAGCAGTGCATATTGCTTAGTTTGGATATATCAATAAGGGGCTGTCATTATATGAGGCTCTTCCAAGGTTCCCAAGTATTCGGATGAGTAAGGATTTGATATTGATGTTCAGAGTTATGCTGACTGCAGAAAACTGTCAAAGATTTAGCTTGCAAGTCATTCTTTTCTGGTATCTGCAGAATGCCAGAAGGATTGTTGCCCTTTCTTTTCTACTTTTATTGCTCTCCCTTTTATATTTGATACCAGAAAACATATATGGGCATTAATATAGTCTGACATAGGCTGTGCTGTGCCAGTGTTTTAGCCCTTCAGTGAGTGAACCCTGCTTTTGAGGCACCTCCTTGCCCTGACTGCTGTCTGCAGGTGGAATGAACATGGCAGCACTGGATGCAGTTGCCCTTTCCCTTGGGCTTCCTTTGCTTGCAATTTGCTACACCAAATAATAGGTAAGTAGAGAAGGAGGGAAGGCATGGGTGGCTTACTGACAACCCTGAAGAGCAGAAAGGTTCTGTCTAGGGAATCTTGTTGACTGACACTGAAGATTTGAACCAGACCCCTAAGCTGAGAGCCGAAAGTAGTCTTATTACCTATCATAATAATACCTATTACCTAGTAATATCATAACTCTATGTTAAATACAACAGTAGGTATTTTCTTGGCCTAGGAGATAGTGTGGCAGAAGTATTTTAATAAATATTATTTCCAAAGAATTTAAATAGATTGTTGTTTTCTTAGGAGGTTGGTATTTTCAAAAATGAATTAAGATATATTTGTGTAACTAACTGATCTTGGTATCTTAGAAGATTTCAGTTCAGGATTTTAATGTGTTATCTTTCACTTGAACTGTTTTGTGTTCACACTGTTCACAAACAAACACTTCCTGTGTTTGTTTGGTTTTTGTTAGGAGAGATTATCAGTGGGCAGAATTTTTCCTCCTAAGTAAAAATATGCTTTTACTAGTAATTGCCTGAGCTCTACTATGTTTGTTATGTTTGTAATTGCTGATCTCTTGATGCAGATTGTCATCTTTTTGGTCCTAATGGCCAAGAATGAGTCACAAGGACAACAAAAGATAACTTCGTGGTGATACTGCTTGGAAAGAACAATGATCTACAGAATTATTTTGCCCATTTGCTCTTTTCCCCGTCTTAAATTAGATAAAATGCTGATTTGTCACAAGAAAAGTTGAGTAACAGGTTGATCTGGATGTCGAGAGGAGTAATTTATAAGCCCCGTGGCTTGGACCTGGAGCCGCTGCCTAATCTTGTGGTTCCGCAAATGGCATTAAATAAAATTCATTTCAGTAGGTACCCGGAAAATGAATTAGCTTCAATTCTTGTGAATGAATACTTCAGATTTATTAAAAAATGGAAAAGGAATTTATGAAATAAGAAGAGATTCCTTTTATTTAACAGTGGGAGAAATGATAGAGAAAAATTAAAAAGACCCTAAAGTGTAAAGTATAAAATGTAAAGGGTTAAAAATTGAAAGAACTGAAGGAAATGTTAGGATATTGTTAGCTTATTTTGCTTGAAGAGAATAGTCTGTTGTGAAGTTAGGATTAAGTATTTGCTAAAAGCAATAATAGAAACCATCAGAGATCTGAAAGAAAAAGGTCCAAAATATTAGTAAAAACCTTAGGTTGCAAGGACAAGACAAAATGCCTATTCCAGTAATAAGTGTATAGAAAATAGGGTAGAGAAAAGTGGGTAGGAAAACGGTGCTTTGTAGGGCACTACACCAAGAGAGTTTTGCTTGGCCTGACCAAAGACTAAAAATGTATTTTATGGGCTTAAAGAGATTAAGAGAGTCAGATGGCATCTCTGTATTTCTAAATGGAAAAAAATAGCAGGAGCTGCTCATAAAGAGGAATCGGAGAAGAAGCCTGGGCTGGAGACGGTGCTCAGAGACACATGGCAAGCGCAGAGAGGCCTCGGTCGTGCCGGGCGTCCCGCGCCTCGGCTGCGCTGCGCAGGCCGCTCTGCGCTGCGGACGCTGTGTCTGGCGCTGCCCGCGGCCGCTCCTCCACACCCGGGGCTGGATCCGCAGAGCAGACGGACGTGCCCAGAGGCCTAGCTGGGAGCGGGTCTGTGCCAGGCACCGCGCGGGCGGCCTGCAGGCCCGGCGAGCGCCGAGCTCCCTTCCAGGCTGCCGGCTCTCTGACGGTGCGGGCGGCCTGCAGCCCTGCGAGCGCCGAGCTCCCTTCCATGCTCCCAGCTCTCCCACCCTAACTGCAGGTCGCTTTTTGCGGTTCGTACAAGGGGGCTGAGCGCAGGCAGAACTTGGCGCCCATGCGGTGAGATCATACCAGGAAAGATTAAGATCATACAAATAAAAGCGTCCCCACAGACGGAGAAATGTCTGCTGAGAGCAGGCCGTGGGCTTTCCTCTTGCAGCCAAACAAACTCAAGCGACTGCCCCTCGGGAGAGCTTAGCTGTCAGTAGGATTTTTAAGCAACAGTCAGCACTGGGAAGGCATTTGTCATCATCAGTGACACTGAATAGGCAGGAGCTGGGAGTGAGACAGAAAGGGAGACAGTGAAATAAAAGAAATGTCAGTGCCCTCACTGCGCTGCTGGCCGGGCTGCGGTGCTGCCCCTGGGGCTGGACTGCAGCGGTGGCTGCGGCCGAGTGGCCAGTGCAGCTGCAGAGCCTGCAGGCTGCTGGCTGCAGCTGCATCAGCGCTTGCCCCGGTGCAGCATCGCTGATCAAACCCTCAGTTCCCTCATGAGAGCCGTAGAGAGGCTCTCATGAGGGCAAGGAAAGCAAATACCCCACCTGATCTTAGCCTCACACTCGGCACCAGATGCTTTTGGTTGCATGACAGCACTGAGCCCAGCACGGGTGTAACGAGGGTCAGGCAGCAAGGCCCTGGTGTGGGGGCCTGGCCAGTAGCCCCATGTGCAGCTGGGGTGGTGGTTCTGCCTGAGCTGCAGGTGAGGGTTGATGAGACTGCCAGGTGCATCTCATACTGGTGGGCAGAAAGGGGGCAGGGGCCATAGGCTGCTTAGCTGAGAGGTAGAGTGGGTGGAGGTTGTTGCCATAGGTAGGGTCTTCTGACTAGAGCTGCCTGAAATGCTCTTGGGTGCCTCTGGTAGTCCCTTCAGGAATCCCCAAGGATGCTGAGGGTGCAAGTGTACAAGGTAGGTGTGTGAGGCAGCTACTTACCCTTGGTTGAAGGGGTCTGGGGGCAGCGGGAGAGGAGCAGGATGGAGCTGCCTGCCTGTTGGCTTTTTGGGCTCGTGCAGGTGTGGTGGTACTCTTGGCATTGGGAAGGCTGTCTGTCCTTGCTGTATGTTGTGTGAATGGGGAGTGTGCTAGGTATCTCAACAACAAAAATAAAAAAAACTTTAAGCAGGGAGAGACAAGAAATAAATGGTGTTTCTTCCCAGGCTCTGTGTTATCCTTCTATGTATCATTTTCCAGGATAAATATTGCTTGCTTTTTATGATGATCTGGAAAGTTTTGGTCCACTGTGGAGTAAGAAACACTGATAAAATCTGTTTATTACTGTGTCTGTTTGTGTCTGTTGCCTTTGTTAGTGGGTTTTTTTTTTCCCTTATGTAGTCTTTTAGCAGTCTGAAGTTCTTGAAAACAAGGAATCTAACTGCAGATTATAAGGTGCAAATGTATATCCTTTTTGGCCCAAAGACTTGATTGATACGTGCGAACCTGCAGATTGCCTATGTTAAGAAGCCAGTTTCAGATAATCTTCATCATCCCCAAGGAAGGGACACAAAACCCTGACACCCCAGCAAAGAAATGGGCAATTTCCTTGTTCAGAGATCCAAATCTCTGGACTGGTAGCTGCTTGTGGTAGCTCTGGCCTTTGCCTCCCTATTTAGGCTACACAAACACTTATTTTCTGGTGGCCTTTCCTGTCATCTGGACTCCTCTTTTCTTGTTCTCTGCTGTGACGGGAGTGCTTTGTGCTGGCACTGTGCAAGCCTTTGCTGGCAACAGCTTTGCAAATTCAGCCTGTGCCTTTCTGTCTATCCTGAGAACTAGTGTGCAGTGATCAATTCTTTCTTTTTTTTTTTTTTTTTGTAGCTATCATTCAAGCAAAGTTATCAAAAAGATGTTTTTCCTCATTAAAGCAGAACGTGTGGCTCGTGTATCTATTTCTGTTGTTTAGTAAGTGGATGTAAGGAACTGTGAGCTTGACCTAGTTCCTAGGGGCAGTCCAATACAGACAGATAACAGTAACAGATTCTTGTTGAATTTGAAGAGAAGTTCTTGGCTGGTGTCTGAAACAGAAAATGAGGTGTTACTACAAAATTCCCTTCAGGGGAGGGAAGGAAAAATCCCTCTTTTTCACCACAGAAGTAGTGTCCTGTCCCTGCGGTGTCCATGTCCTCTGCTATGAAACCCTCTGCAATGGCATACTGAGCTGGAGACAAGTGTGAGCAATCTCAAAAAGGGGATATAGGAATCCAGCAGATGCAAGTCGCTTGTTGTAGTTTTCAGTTTGGGAAGTCACACAGAGAATGAATTTGGGGAAGGTTGAGCTAATGAAGTATAATGTTCATATGTGTCCAAGTGTTTTGCAACACAGGCAGTTCCATCTCCATGTGAGGAGGAACTTCTTCACTGTGAGGGTGACAGAGCCCTGGAACAGGCTGCCCAGGGAGGCTGTGGAGTCTCCTTCTCTGGAGGTCCTCCAAACCCACCTGGATGCTGCCCTATGCCCCGTGCTCTGGGTGTCCCTGCTGGAGCAGGAGGGCTGGATTAGATGATTTCTAGAGGTCCCTTCCAACCTCAATGATTCTGTGATTTTTTTTTTTTTTTTTTTTTTTTTTTTTTTTAGGTGCTGCTGAGTTCAGGGTATTGGGCTCGAGGGTCCAATATGGCAATTCCTTTGCCCTGTGCGATGTTCTCCAATGTGGTTTGTAGCTGTGTCCCTACTGCTGCCATAGAAGTTGTTCTCCCTTTTTGCTGCCTCATCCAGCTGCCTCTAGTGTCTCTTCATGTGTGGCCTACTTGGATGCCAAAAGGGGTTAATCAGGCTGATGATGACTGGGTAAGTTTTAAAACTGATTGCCGAGAAATTGGAAAGGAAGTCAAGACATAATCAAGCTCAGCATCAAATGTCAAACAGAATGTAACAAACCCTTGGAAGAACATTCAGCCCACTAAGTTAGTTAAGGGAAAGGACCAAGTCTATGGTTTTTAACTGGCCAATGCTGATCAGACAGGACTGTAGTCAGCTCTGTGGTCAGTGGTGTGTGGCCACTGCCAGAGCTTGCTCACTGCTCAGAGGAGCAGTAGCCTGTGTGCTTTCCTCTGTTGTTCTTTGCTAGTCCTGGTTCGTGCTTGATCATTCTCTGCTCTGCTTTCCAAGGAAGTATTTAAGCTAGTGTCACAAGATTTACTCCCTTTGAAAGGAAGGTGATGGAGCTTCTGCTTTACGGCAAGGTAGAACTACTAGGAAGTGCTCCAGAGCAGGCTGTGCTGGGAGAATGATGATGTCATCATAAAAATCTTGTTTCTCCAGAATAAATGAACATCATCATGAAACTCCAGGAGGAAAAGTTTAGCTGTGGTGAAGTTATGGAGCTATTAAAGTAGCTGAGGCTGAGGTTTGCAGTTAAGTCAGGGGTTATTTGGAGGTTGTCATCTTGCACTTTTATTTGGAGTCCTAAATATGTATTTAAGTGCCTCGCTAAAATAAATCTGCCATAATGGGGTTGGTTTGCCTCCTCTTCACTGAAATATTATAAAATGAATGTGTTATTGAACCATGGCAAATTTTTAAAAATTCTAAAGATTTAGAGAAATAATTTCTCAGGTATATATTTTATAGTGTGTACAAAATGCAAGCTCTAGCATGAAATCAATGTCCTGAGATGGACTGTCTCTTCTCCCTTACGAGAACCCCCTTAGGTTCAGCAGCTGTCCATCCTTTGAAGCACAGCACGAGATTTGTATCAAAAGCAAGAATTTCCAAGATGCTTTTCTTAATACTGCAGTGCTGGCCTAATGCTGCGGTTCCCAAGCTCTCTAGTTAGGTGAATGATGACACTACATGCACTGCTTGTGCACATCTCTGCCTTTCTTTCACTCTGTGCTGTAGCAGGAACACAGTTTTCCATAAGACACTGGATGGTGGCTGCGTGTTGCATTTGACAAGCATTGCCTGTTGTTCTCTATGAAGATGTAGTTGAAAAGTTGCACAGTTTTATGTACCAGGGAAATATTTATATCCTAGTTCTTTTGAAAGTTTTAGATGTCCGTACTTGGGTTTCCTACTGATTGAAAGAATACTGGAAATAATCAGCTAACTTACACCTCTCAATATATCATTTAGCTAGTGCATGCTAGAGGTCTTTTCTTATTTGAGCTTTCTTTAGGTGCACTGTAGTTTCATAAAGTATCTTCTCCTCTAACAGTGTGAAGACTTGTGTTATCATTCGTAACTTTGAGTATCCCAGATATTAGCTGTTCTTTGCTTGTGTCTGTACCTTTATAAAACAGCAAACAGTTGTTTGTCTTCTGTAGCTGTTAATTTTATCATCAGTCACAGTTATAGGAAAATCTTTGCTTCCATTGAAACGATTATGTCTTTGGTGATTCAGTAGGCTTTAGATGGAAAACTTGACCTTGGATCATATATCTGGAAACAGTCATAAAAAAGCTAAATTCACCTTAAAAGAAGGGCCCCAAAAAAAGGGGGAAGGGGAAGGCTGTTTTGGAATACTTGGATGGTAATACACTATGTTTGTACATCTCTTCCAGTGTAGTGTTCAGGTTGTAGGGCTTCATGGAAACCTTGCTTGATCTTCTACTTTGTTGGCTTTCACCTGGATGATGAATTCCACACCCATCTCCTTCCTCAGCTGAGCTTTAATGGCATCTGATTGATCAACTAAGTTGCTTATTCTTATTTGGTCAGAAAAAAATCATGCCTAGAAGGGACCTGAAGAAGTCACTTAGCCTATTCTGCCCTTTTTAGTCCTCTACAAACAAGTGTAGCTAATATCCTGTGTACCATCTTATCCTAAAGCTGTCGCCAATAGGAATATGTGTATATATGCGTAAATATTTTTACTTAAACATTTATTTACATAATATTTTTAAGCAAGTTTACAACCCCTTGTTAAGCACTGAGAGAAACCAAATTTATTTCACATTTTCTGCATGTCTTTCTGTTTCTTTTTTCCCTCTTGCAGCAGTTAGTCACACCTAAAATTAAGCATTTTGCACTATCTGATAACTATGACTTAAAATGGTAGATCTGGACTTCAGATGCATCCTTTTGCTAGGTAAAGGATACCATGAGGCCCTTAAGGGTGTCTCATTCCTACTGTGTCCTTTTGCGCAATAGGATGGGAGTTGCAGTTGTGCTGTGAAGCGTTTGGAAGTTGTAATAACTCACGGATATGGTAAGAGAAATTGCTGACATGGTCTATTTTCCAAGCCTTGACAGTTTTATTGCCTTGTGGTTACCATAGACTTTTCTAGCAGTCTTAAAACTGTTTCTCTCCTGCTGTGTTCCTGTCTACTGCCCACCATTGTCCACTGTGTGTACAAAGGGGGCCCTGTTTTTGGCTCTCCTACCCAGTTCCAGAGTTAAGATTGGAAACCTGGGTAGGCCTCAGCTTAAGGAAGCTGGATTCTGATCTGAGATCAGTCTATCACCAAACATGGTGAACAGCCTGAAAAAGCAAAGCCCGAGTATGTGAAGTAACCGATGGGTTATAGAGCTCCTCATTTGATGGAGGATTCTTCAAAAACCAGACAAAATGCAGTCTTCTGTTAATAACCTCTTCTAGCTTGATTGGGCTGACGGAGACTGTGGTCCTTGCAGGCCACATACTGCATCTTGGCCTTTGGGAGGTTGTTGTAGGCAGTGGTGTGAAAACAAGCTCCTCCTTGGTGGTTTTGTTGGCTCTTGGTGCTGGGGTGCAGGAAGCCCCTTCTGAAGGGCTGTGTGCTGCCTGGTGTGGTGAGGGCTCCACGCTGCAATGAGCTTGGGGCACAGGGAGCTCGGAGCGAGCGGGATTCCTTGGCCGTCCCTGCCAGGGCTCCCCAGCTCTCCTGCCCTTTCTGCCTTGGCCTAGCTCCAACACAATCCCTCTTCCACACCATGAGCTTTATCCCAGTTTTATATTTCCTAGTTTTTGATGTCTCCACTGCTGACTTTATATTGCTTTCAATTTGACATGTGGCAGACAGGCAGAAGGGAAATCTGCTCGTAAGAACACGGAATAACGGGAGTACTTTGTGGAGCTCATGTCGCATATATTGGATGGTGGAAAATAGTCAGCTCCTGCAGTTCTTTCTCCCTCATCCATCTCCATGTCACGAATGCACACTTAGCTCATTGTTCATTTTTTTGGTCTCCCCAGGATTATGCATCTCAAACTTGTGCTTGGGATGATCTGTTTTTGGAGACTTAACTCTGCCTGGTGTACTTCAAACCCTACCTCAGAGCTGATGCTTACAGTCAACAAATCTACTTAAAGTTCACAGCTAGTTTTTAGGCAAAAATATAGGATACCAGACAGACCTCTAATATTAACTTAAAAAGTGCCAGTGATGTGATGACCAGTCTTGCAAAGCATTCGTCATGTGCTTGTAGCTACTGATTTGCTATGGGGAAATAAGAGATGATCTTGTCTAAACAAATGAATTGCTGCACACGCTATGTATTTGCTTAATACCATATATAATGAGAGAAATAGAACTTGATTTCTTTGGTAATTTTTGATATACATGGATAAATTCTATCAATAAATTTATCCATATATCAATATATATCAATAAATTTATCCATATATCAATATATATCAATAAATTTATCCATATATCAATAAATTTATCCATATATCAAATTTTGATATATATGAATATACTGCATTCTGTGTTGTGTAGGACCTGGCTTGTCCTTATATGGATGCATAATATTTTCCTAGGTTAATATAAGTAATTTGCATACATTGGTATATGTACTTTTATCACCATCAGGGATGAAAGGGCATAGGGAATATTTGGGGGCCCTCCAGAACCTGGGAGCATCAACCTTGGCAGGGATGAGCCGTGCCCTCCATAAATACTACCTCAGTGGATTCTTAGGAGAGTTGCACTGAACTCTGCATGCGACAGATGATGCTTCTTGCCAGCAGTGTGATTTAACAGTTGTGCTTCACATTCTGCAACTCTCCAAGACGGAAATTTGGATGATAAATGGTGCAATAAACACTGGAGAGGCATCACATTCCAGGGAAGTTACTATTGCTGCAATTATATAAAACTAAATGAGGAAAAACTATATTGCACTAACCTTTCCTAAGCTGACACCTAAGGATACACACTGAAACGTGGTTGGATGGCAGTCAGCCTTTCTTTCTAATTCTTTCACAGGCTCTTTTGTTAGGGCCGCTCAGATTAGATTAGAGCAGTTCTTGTAAGAATCGTAACTGGGCCCCAGTAGCCCCTTGGCACGGAGCGCTGGTTTGTGAGGACTTGGTCACTGTCCCTTTTCAGACAGGCGCTCGCCCATCTCCACCCACCTAAATGCACACCTGAACACGTGTGCTAACCTGGTCCAGCCGGGAGGAATTGTCCCTTGAAGCGAGGCTGGCTCTTCCTGGAGGGGTTGGGCACTGCGCTGCTCGTTGGCGACCAAGCCAATGGCTTTACATGGCAAATGGCGCCTGGGGTGAAATAACACAAATACTGAGGCCCACTTTCCACTATGTGTTCTTTAAAACTCCTCCCCGAGTTGGGAGAGTGACCTTTGGTGAACAAACGTTCTTTTACCTTCAGCGTTCAAAACTGTTAATGTTTTAATATGCTTACGTGATTAATTCACATACTTTCTTTTCAATGCAGTAATTTCCGGACTCTGCCTTTCTTGTGGCTGCAGTTTTGAGGCAATTTGTTCTGCAAGTCTGTCAATGGTTGATGCTGTATATACCTGTTTGAGTCTGTTGTTAATAGTTACTGAGCAAGGGTTACATTCAGCTGCTTTGGTTTTAGCTGGAATAACCTCTCCAAAGAGGAGTCCAGTCACGCTGTTCCATAATGCTGAACCCCTGCAGCTGACCTGGCTTGCTGAAGATCCTGTGGGCTAGGAAGTTTCATCAGTATCATATTGAATTGACAGCAGTCTGGGTCATTTGTGGGTTTGCGTGGCAATAAGTCTTATTATGAAGCCTTCTCTTATGTTCCAAGTACTGTAAAAGCTCCTAGAATGAAAGCTCCAGTGTAGTTGGGGTGTGTGTGTATCTATATTTTTTTTTGAAAAAGGACTTTCTTATGCCTGAGCCATAGGGGCAAAAGACCTGCCTAGCTAATGCACTAACTTTAGTTAGTGTAATATCTGCCCTGCTTCCTGTTCCAATTAGTATGAATCTAACTCAAAGTTTGCCTTTAGATGTGACAACTGTTTACTCTGTGACCGACTTGAGCATTTACTACCCATTTGGTAGGACAGCTGAAAGACAGGGTTTTCATACATAGGGTTTTGCCTCCGAGTTAATTCTAGACTAACAAAAAGATTGCTTGGGTTTCTTGCCATAGAAATCATTAGATTCCTTCTGAAAGCTCCCAGAGAATAGCTCAGAAAACTTCAACTTGGCCCAGATATTTTCTTTGCTGACTTATGTGTTGCCGTTAATGAACTCGCTCCTACTCTTTGGCTGAGGTGGTGATTACTCTGAGGTTTTTCTTCTGTGGAAAAAATCCTGTATAATTCCTTTCCTTCCCACAGCTTTGCTCAGGAGGGTGTAGAACACCTTGCTCTGTTCACTTGAGGTGTATTTGTGATGAATCCCCATCAACTGGACTGCTGGCTTTCCAGATCCTGTGTATATTCATCTTACGTGTATCTTGTATTTTATGGAGTCATCAGAGTCACTGGTAGATGTGGTGTCATTTCCCTCTTAGGAAACATTTGCATCTTGCTTAACCTAAAATCTGTGATGAGAAGATATCTGCAGTGTTTCTGTATATGCAATGTCAGAAATAATTCTGACTGTTCTGTGGGAAATTCTGAAACACTTCCAAATAAAATGGAACAGACCTGATCCCAGTATATCCCTTATCCTTTTAAGCCCTTGTCCCAGGCATCTAGCTGGTTTTTATTGCACAAGCTGGAGCCCGGGCTTCGAGATGTCTGGGCCCCGGCCTCTTGGTGAGCTGAGGGAAGGTGTCCCGAGGGCTTCAGCTGGTGTCCTGCGGCTCCCGGCGCTGCCGGCAAGGTGGGCTCCTGGACAGCGAGGAGGGTGTGTGGAACCAGGCAGCCGCCTCCTTCCTAATGGCTTTGTGGAATAGCCTGTACTGTGGGAACGTGCTGAGTTCATGGAATTGGCGGGGGGTTTTAAAAAGCTGAAAAGTTTAGGTTGGAAAATTTCTGTCCATCTCTAATTGTAATGTTTCTCCCTAGACCACAGCTTTCGGTTTTTCCTGTGGGAATGATGGAAGCTTCATCGTTGACAGAGAGGATAGTTTTAAAATGGAAAGGGCTAAAATCACTGCATACGTAATGTATGCTACCTATCCCCCCACATTCCTAGGATATGATGAATAGTTGTTATCCACTTAAGCTGCTGAGAACTTAAGGCCCTTAACAGTACTGCAGATTCTATGAGCAGAAAAAGCCTCCTCTCCTCTCGCTGTTTGCTCGAGGGTCCCTTTCTTGTCCAACAGCCATTCTAATCGTAGCGAGTGCTCCCTGCTCCTCTCCTCCCTCAGTAGGATTACTGAGCGTCTCGGCTCCAGCAAGGGCAGCAGGAACAGGGAGCAAAGTACACTGTAGTCCTGCCAGGCTATTTTGAGCTCTGGGCTCTGTGTGATGTTGGTAAAGAAAGGAAAACACCAAGTGTCTTAACAGCTGCCTTCGCTTCTCTTGCGATCCCCCTGTGCAGATGGTTTACAAATGCTGCAGGAGGATGAGGAAGGGCTCCGGCCTGACCTGTCTGCGCTGATGAGCAGGGTGGAGTGTCGTCCGCTCCTACGATAGAGCGGACTTGAACACATATGGAAACCAATATTTTCTGTTGGGAGAAGTTCAGCATGTATGTAGGGGATAGAAAAGAAAACTTAAATCGAGACGTTGTGTTTTGAGAGTTAAAGCTAGCTTCCTAGGTCAATATTTTTTTTTGTTTAAAAATGTAATCTAACTGCAGAATGACATTGAAGGGAAAATATGGTCCAAAGGGTGGTGAATGATGCATATGTTTCTGCTTACCTGAAAAGCTTTTTTTGTACTGTGAAATTCTGTCTCTCTTTCGTGAATAAAGTAGATAAAACATTCAAAATTGTTAGATGAAAAATGACTTCTTTCCTTTATCTGGTCTGGCTATACTTTATTATGTGTTCCTCTAAGAGTATCAGGAAAAGCTGTGTGACTCGAATATACCTCCCAGATGGAACATTTTTGGGAGTGGGATAATTTAAACAGAAATCCTGAACAAGCAGTATGTAAAGATGCATTCTACAGCAACTTCTCCAAATAGATGTTCCCTTTTATGCATGCACATGACGTGAAGTAGCAAAAGTTTGATTTAAAACTAAAACAGAAAGAGTAAAGTGTAATTGCTGACTCTTTCAACCTAATACCAAATAGGAATTGTCTTCTCACAACTGCTCTCCTCTCTGTTTAGGACAGAGCAATCTGTGCTTGGGGAAATGCTGGTGTGCTTCAGAAATGGGAAGATGCTCGACTTTGAAGAGAGGGAGTTTCCTACATCCTAGCCGACTGCTCCTCGTATGCCTTCAAGGTAAGCTGCAGATGTGCTCCCTCTGGGCACCTGTGTTCCCAGCACAGCTGGGGGCAAGGCCACAACCTGACAATCTGCTGGATATGAATCGCTCGTGGCTGCTCTCCATTGCTTGGGGTTGTTGTGTTGCTCAAGGAAGTGATTGATCCTTGAGGTGTTGGGGAAAGAAATCACTGCGGGGTGGAGTGAAAAGCTTGCAAAACTGAAATCCAAAATAATTTGGATTAGAATATGTAGTGTACTTAATCCATGAGCTACCTAGGCGTAAAGAGTAAATAGAACCACATAAAACTGGAGAAGTGCAAAATTCACAGATGATGCCGGAAGGCAACAGTTTTGAATGGAGCATGCACTTGGGGTAAGTTTGATCTCTGTTTTCCTTTAGTAGTATTGCTTATGTGAGATCAGTCCCTGAATATAAGGAGTAAACAAACATGTGATCCTGTAGCTGTGTTAGTACAGAAGGGTATGTAAAACCAACTTGTGAAATGGAAGTGCTGTGTAAATGTAAGAGCTTCAAGAAATGCCATCCTTTTATTCAAAGCATACATCAAAATAAAGAACATAAGCTGGAAGTCCTTAGTAGCCCTGTGTCTGGAGGAGTGCATTGGTGCCCCCAGGAATTTTGCCAGGCTCTGAGGATAACTGACATGGAGAATTTGCTGAGCAAACTCTTCCTTTTGGCTCTGGGGCAGGGTTAGTGTGCAGGAATGGCCTGCAGGATATGGCCCATGGGATGATCCCCCTCCTGAACTCTGCCTGGGAGACCTGCTGGAAAGCAGCATGTTCTGGGCTTTTCCAAGGGCTTAGCAGTACAGATAATAGAGTTCCAATGTCAGAATATTCTGGAACAATGTTTTATTTAGTAGTAGGCTCTGAAGTTTCCTAATCTATGAAACCCCACAGCCTCACCAAATGAAGGTAGGATTGGATCATTATGACCCTAAATACAGTAACTCTCAACTTGTGCTAATTGTCATTGCAACTTGCTTTTGCCGAGAAAAGTATGCAATAAAAATGCTGCCCTGGAGTGGCTAAGTGTTGAAGGCAGTTTTGATTTATGATTTTTGCTTTCTGTTTTTATGCAAGAAAAAAATGATGAAGCTCTTATGGGTAATAATATTTAAACCTTAACTTGACTGTATAGGATATTCTCCTCATGTTTGTCTTTCCCTTTTAACAAAGTTTCAGTAAGGAGCTAGAACTTGTGCTGTCCACTTCTTGAGCACAAAATCACTGCAGTTTCAAGACTTTCTGCTCCTGTTTGAAAGCTTGATTTTTTTTGTACATTAGACTATCTTTCTACAGAAGTATTTTGCATATTTTTAATTGTTACTTATAGCTTTGAGGTATGAAGGAGGCAGGCAAGCTTTCCCTAAAACCAGGCTCTACATGTCACTTTGTGCAGGTGGGAAGTGAGCCCTGCCCTGTGGCTTGATGTGTGCAAGATAGGCCCGTAGGGTTGAGGAAACAACATGCAATTTGGGGAACTGTGTGACTTTCTGTGATTCTGCCTACTAGGTGAAAGCACCAGAGGACTGTGCTGACTTTCCAGAGCAGCAACTGGAAGTTAAGGGTGGAGACCAAGTCCTTGGGTGCTTTTTTGGAAAATATTGCAGCAGTAACAGGATTACGTTTTCTGTCTGTGCTTACATAACCTCTAGTGTCCCTGTCTCAATTTTATCTGAACTTTTTTCTTTTTCCCTGGCTACCTTCTTTTTGAATAACTGGAGAAAGGAGGCATCTTAATTACTTTCATTCTTCTATTACCAGGAACAAGAGCAACTATAATATCATTATGACAGTTTCTGGGAACACTCTATTAATTCGTACAACTTTGAAGACTGAAATTTCTTTCATGGAAGCCAGTTTTCTACTCCTACTTGATTATTTTTATTTATTGTGTAGCAGTTGTGTGTTATCTAGGTATACCCAGGGGATCTAGAAAACTCCTAGTTTACAAAGGGAGATTAGTAAAGAAACTGAACAGTAATAAGGTCAGTAAAAATGCTGTGTTTGAATAAGAGTACATATTTTTCTCCTGGAGGCAACTGGTTTTAGAAAGAAAAAATATTTTTCTGTTTGGTAACTCACAGTTTTCATGGAAGACTGAAAGGTGCTGTCCTGAAAAAACACGAGCTGGAAAGCCTTTTGCCACAGTGCGTATTTGCTGATGTGTGCTGACTTGGGGCTTTTTCCACATTCTTATGTCTTACAAGAAGACAAAGGCAGCTCAGTGATGTTGAATATTAGGTTTGTTCTTTAATGTGCTGGTCCTCTTCGCAGTGTCCACACTTGCCTTTTGACACTTTCTGTGTAGCAGCAATTCTTATTCCTTAAGAGGATTTAATTCCTTCGATGCTGCTGTTATTGAGGGTGAGGGGAAGCTGGCCTAGATCTACAGGCCTGTGCCTGTTGGGCGGGTGTGGAGATGCAGCCTGCTTCAGGCAGCCAGGATGGCTGATTTGGAGTACACAGGGTGATATTGTGAGCCTGAAGGCTGCTTGTAGGCTTCCAACATGAGTTTTAGAAATGCAAACATTAAAATGCTTTTTAGATATTTCAGCCCTGGCAATTTGGGAAGATGCATCTGTTCAGTAACTGCTACATATCCTAGGGACAAAGGAGGCCTATCAGTATAAATCTGTAGGAATATTTGCAAACATAATAAATTAAAAATGACACCTCATAGCCTTTTAGCAGCAACAAAAATGGGACAATACTGGAGTTGTGCTGGATTCCTTTAAAACCCTCTTTATGGAATGATTCATGGTTTGCTCAGTCCTTCCTGCTTCAGTACATCTGGCACTAACTGTGATTTCTGACATTAAGTGTTTAAAAAGCCACTTTCCATTTTATATCTCTTTTTGTATCTCTTTCTTGTGGCTACAGAACAGCAGACTGCTTCATACCTGTTGCTTTTCATAGGGAAAGTGTCTTCATGATTCTTCAGGGTGTTGAGTATTTGCATCTTTGCTAAGATGGAGTTCAGCAACACCAGCAGCTTGCTAAAATGAAGAATAAACTTTTTTGTATATTAGTTCACATAGATTGCACTGTACAACTGCAGGCTTCCTGTCACTTCCATTCCTAGTCCCCACCTGCTTGTCAGTGGTGGCTAAACCCTATTTGGAGACCTGCATTTGAATTCTTGAACTTGACTGTGATCTTCGTGCTTATGAGCAAATGCTGCCTCTTCCATGGGTGGAATCCAAGCAGTGATGGGTAAAGCAGGTAGCTGATGTGCTATGCTGGGGTTAACACTGAGAGGTGCAAACTGCTCTCACACATGGTGCATGGAAGCCTTGAAGAAAGACGTTTAGAGACTCTACAGGGGCGTGTGTGCCTTAATGGAAGGGAGGGCTTTAGCTACAGTGGGGCTTCTTTCCTTTCAGAAAGAGCAGCATAGAGGTAGCAATTCTCCAGAGGCTGTGTCTCTTTGGACCAAGGCTGACCCTTAAAGAGTATTCCATCAATGAGTTTTGTATGTGGTTTATTGTGCAGTCTACGCAAGCGCTATTAACCATGTGCTTTTCATGGAGAGTTGCTGAGCTGGAGTATTGAAAGGTTGGAAATGTCCATTAGTGGATGTATTGTATAAAACAATGCAGTTATTCCTCTTCCATAACTTCCTAGCGTGAGGTGCCAGGTGTTGGGGCTGTAGGCCAGGAGGTGATCTCTGCCTTCCCGTCCCCATGGAGCGACTGCTGTTGGAGCAAAGGCTCCTGGCAGCGCTCCCTGCTCCTGCATCCTCCCCTCAATCTGTTGGGAAGATGAGCAGGTCAGGGCAGCAGAAGCCACAGAGGCCACACGCGTACCGTGATGTGGCTCTGCTGCTGCCTGTGGGGAAGGGGCAGCACGAGTGGAAGGCCTGATCTGTAACCTGTTCAACAGCAGCCTGCTCCAATGATTTTTTGCTTGTATTAGGCCATGTGTCTACTATCCTTTCATACAGCAACACCAGGGCACTACTCAGTCCTCTATCACTTACAGTGATAGTAAAGAGGAATAAAATTTACCTTGTAAATGGCTTAATCTAGTTAAAGGGCTAGGAGAGGAGTCCTGTCACCAGTTCTGTGCAAATCAAGTCTCAAGTGACACAACTGTTTGCAGAAGAAAATGTTTGAATGAATTTCTGCAAAGTTATATGCAAGACTATCATGTTTGCCTGTAGGGCTCTTAGACAGTTGATTTGGTTTCTGTGCCTATAAAAGAGGGAACTGGAATACTTGTGTGCCTTTCTCCCAATGCATAGCACATTGATTTCATGTGGAGTATGATTAAAAAGAAAAGCATGTGTTAGTTTTTTCACTCACTTCTAGGAGCATTGGAGTTTATTGTGGAAGATGTGTTCAATCTGGGCCTCTGGTGTGGAAATGAGGTCTTGAGTTCCCTTTATACTTGGTTCATTTTGTATCCCTTGAGAAGTAAACATGCCATAAAGTGTTCATAAATGTGACTACAGTGTTTAAGGCTGCTCTAAATATAAAAGTGGTAGCAACGCTTATGCTCAAAATACAAATCTTGTCCAATATCTTAGCTTTTGTGATTTCATTTCTTTTTAAGTATGGGAGAGCCATTTTTCTTCCCAGTTGAAGTAAGTAGCAAGGGATGGCATGTAAGAAAAATGGCCTGCAGCCTTAGGCTGATCAGATGAACCTTTTATGCAGATCACTCGAGTGCCCCATCCTTCTTTTCCCTCTCCTCAGCTACTCCTGTCTCACTCTTATTCCCCCGCTGTGTGCTCAGTTATAATACACCTGCACATCACTTGCAAGTGATGCAGAGGCTCCGGAGCTGCTGTGAGCAGCTCAGCCCCAGGACACGGGCTGACGGTGCACTAGTCATCTCGGCCGAGCGCGTGGCAGCTCTCGCCGTCAGGCTGCGCGGATTCCAGGAGTGCCCAGCAGCCAGAGTGGGGCCGTTGGGGCAAGTCCAGGCTGCAGAGCAGCTTCTCCTTGCGCTGATGTTGCTGCACGCTCCTCTGTGCCCTGATGGGA